TTGAGAACTCTATAATTTCATGATCACTGTGCCCCAAGCGGCCTCCAACCACCACATCTCCCACCAGCCCTTCTCTATTTGCAAACAACAGGTCCAACACAGTCCCCCCCCTGCTGGGCTCACCCACCAGCTGTGACAAAAAGTTGTCTTCCACACACTCTAAGAAGTTCCTGGACTGCCTCTTTTCTGTTGTATTAATTTCCCAGCAGATATCTGGGAGGTTAAAGTCACCTACAAGAACAAGGGCTGGTGATCCTGAAACTTTCCCCAGCTGCTTATAGAATAAGTTGTCCACGTCTTCTTCCTGGTTGGGTGGACAATAACAAACTGCCAGCAGGATGTCAGTCTTATTGGCTTTCCCCTTAATTCTTACCCATAAGCATTCAGTTTCATCATTAGTTTCAATACCCCTGTCATCAAAAACCTCCCTAATATAAAGGGCCAGTGGTGGAAAATCTCATGAAAACCCTTAAATGTAACACATAATAGAAGCATCATTTATTATTCATTATGAACAGTCCTTACATGCTGTTCAAAACAGTAGTTTATTAAATACAAGCCAAACTGAACTTTGTCAGAAGACAGCAAAACCCCCATGATGTGGATTTTTATTTCTTGAGATTTTCTCCCACTTATGCAGAATGCATGATCCATATGAACCTAAAAGCTCAAAGTAGGGATTTATATGTCTGCAGAGTTCTTCAACATGTTAAATACATTTGGAAGGTTGTTCTACTGCTAAGCAACACAAGCCCTAAGGAGAGCTTGTAATAAGAAACAATTTCTGAAATATGCTAATCAAAGATCATGCTTTGTTAGTCAGATTTCTACATGACTAGGAGCAGATGCTCATCACTGGAAGAAGAACACACCCTTGGGACTAAGATGAAACATAACAACCACATTTATCATTACAGTTCTTTTTGTCCTAAAGCAATGAGTATGAACTCCTTGGAAATTAAGAGCTAAAAGTACAAATAAATAAATAAAGTGAGAAGACGTTACTTTATCAGCTTGAAAGGAAAACTACAGCCATAGTGGTTTTTAGCCATTCTCTATGTCAGGGAGTCTGCACTCAGCTCTGGCTGCACAGTAATAACAAAAATACCTAAGCTCAGCTTTGAGATGTGAACATATTTCCACTTTTTGTTTAGGCTGAGTCTGAAGGTGAAACTGATATGATTAATTACTTTAGAGTGGCTGAGCATGCATTCAATATTTATGTAGGGAGATATGTGCCCAGCCAGTACTGGAATTAAATGTTTCACTTGGACAAAAATTCTTTGATGAAAACCCACTTCATCCTCCCTATCGTTTTCTGAACCCAGGCTCCATGGTTTCCTGTTCTGAGCATTTCCCATGGATACTGGGTCTCCAAGAGAAGGATCCATCCTAGGAGGCAGCTGACCTAAATATAGTACTGGACATCTCAGTATAATAATTTTCCAAAGATTTTTATCTTGGAAAAATTTAGGAAATTAGAAAAGTACCATCTTGTCTCATGAATCTC